AAACATTATACCCTGATTTCCCATTTTCAATGGGTTCAGGGTATAAAAATAAGAAGGGAAGCAGAAGTACACACTCCTTCCCTCTCTCTCTCTCTCTCTCTCTCTCTCTCTCTTTCGCACTCTCTCGCGAAATAAAATAAATCCAGTTTCAAGCGCAAAACAAAATGAACGTCGAGCCGCCATTTGAGTTGCGACTGCTGTTGTTGTTGTTGTTGTTGTTGGTGCTGCTGCTGCCTGTTGTCTGGCGCTATCTGCCTGGTTCACTGAGTGCCATAAATTAACTTGTCCTGGCAACGCCGACAAACTGCTTGCGCTAGCATTTTCCTAGTTGTCGACTGCGACTTGCCAGATTTTTGTTTAATCTGTTACCGCTCCTTGTTATTGTTGTCGCTCTCGCTCTCTCTCTCTCTCTTCTTCTTCTTTTTTTGTTGGCTGGTTTTAATTATGTGCCTCTGCACTGTAAGCATGCCAAATGAGTCGGCTAGTTTTCCAAGTTACCTGTGTGTGAGTGCAAGATGCAAGAAGAGCATCTATGCAAATGAAATGTAGAAGAGTATGTTTGGGTAAATTAATTTATATGCTAGGTTATCTCAATCTAGACCAAGTATCTATTGTAAAACATAAACGAGTATCTGTGCTTAAATGAATTCATTATGAAAAGTATCTCAATTTGACACAAGTATCTGCTCAAAGAGCTGAGAGTATCGGAGAGTATCGGAGAGTAATTTAATAATTATGGAGAAGAATTTCAATCTGACACAAGTATTTGTATAAGGGAGAGAATTTTTGATGTCAGATGAGATATAAAAACCTTTCAGAGTCAGCCACAAAAATTATAATAAATTATTTAAGCAAATATATAAAGAGTTAAGATACATATATAAAGAAAGTATCTTTAAGTTACACAAGTATCTGCTGGGTAAGAGCGTAGCTTATAAACAAGGTATTTGAAGACTATAAACCTATGCGATAGCCAACAAATTGCAGACTATGAAAACTCGCTGTTAAAACTAGATTAAATATAAAGATTAACTTGGATAGATATCAAGCTCTAAGTATCTTTCAGTAAAAAAGTATCTAGAGGAGTATCTGTTCATAGCCAGATTATTACTAAATTAATTAAATACTAATTATTATCCTTCACTCCCTTCAATCTTAAAAAGCAACAATTATACAATATTAAACAAAGCATATATGCCCTATCAAAGTAAAAATATGCAGTTAAGCTATAAATTTAAGTAACAATATTTTATACCAATAAAACAATATCATAAAATGCACAGCTAAAGCCGAGCTACGAAATTAATTGATAAATTGAAAATAATTCAGATGAAATTCACAATTTCATCAGAAATTTGGGCACATTTTAATTCAGCAAAGTCCATGAATGCCCATTGATTGGCAAATGGCTTACTTTTTGCTCTTCTTCTTGTTGTTTATGTTTTGCTTTGTCAATTTCGGGCATTTATTTATGTGTTTCATGATTCATTCGAGCACTTAGCAAACGTCACACTAAAACTGACATTTCGTTTGTCAGCCACAACTGTCCACCGAATGTCAGCCTTGATTTTGTTTTTGTTTTTGCTCTTGATTTTGATTTTGATTTGGATATGAATAAAAGTTAAATAAAAATACTTGGAAATAGCTGTGCATATCGGAATACCTTGATGGCCTGTCGCTGCTATTCTGTGTATGTGTGTGTGTGTGTGTCTGGGGCTAAAAATATTTCGATAATTTTGGATGATTTTGGGTAACAATTGTTGTTGCGCTGCTCGTCCATCTATTTATCGTCTGTTTGCCTGACCGCACACAGGTGAGAGACAGGTGGGTGGGCGTGTGGTGTGGCCGATGCTAACCCAGTGACATTTAAACCAGGAGCCAGACCTGGAGCTGGACCTGGCCATTGTGCCCCAGCCCTGCGGCACGCCCACAGCGTTCAATCAATTGTTTTTACAGCTGGCGGCGGAAGCAGTCCGTGGTTGGGTGGTTGGGTGGTTGAGCGGTTGGCTGGCTGTTTGGTTGGCGCTTTTGAAGCGCAAAGTTTGCTACGCTTTTGACACGTTTCGCAAATATTTGAGCACGTCTAAAATGGCGCAACGTTCGCGGGGTGCTCATATTTTGAATTTGAGGCCCAGACTCCTGCTGCCCGCTTCCTGCTGCCCGTTGCCTGTTGCCTGGCTCCTTCTGCCATCTGGCATCGTCTTGCCTGCTCCTGGCCAGGGCGTTGCGTGCCAGCGCGTACTTTGTCCTTGTCCATGGCTTTAATTAATTTTCGCTTCCGTTAACAATTTTTATGTGCGATTTGCGGATTTGAAAGGCGGACAGAGCTGCTTTGTACGGCTGCCTCGTGCATGTGCTGATTTCGTGTTTATGCTTTCTTTAATTTGCCACTAATGCCCGCACAACTATTTGGGTAGTCGTATATGCTTGCTATGCCATTTGTGGCACAGAAATATTTGCCGGATACATGCGATTAGATTGGCCCAGATTGCAGTCCAGCAACAACAGCAACAACAACAACAAGTGTAGAGAAAGGGCAAACGGAGCGTGCAACAAGTTAATTACGCCATTCGAGCTGCTATTCAGCTGAATATTTATTGTGATTTTATTTTGATTATTGCTCAAATTATTTGGCATTCCAACAGCGCCAATTGGCTCTGCAGTTGCCGCGCAAGTTAAATAAATAGCAAGGATGTACGAAAATAATCGGAAAGTCTTTTGAAGTTCCAAAGTAAAAGCAGCAGCAGCAGCAACGTCAACGATATAAAGTTGGCGCTTTTTGGCTTTGACGCACGTAGCTGCCGATTTCAAAGTTTTTCCAACAGTCTATGTGTGTGTGTGTGCGTGTGTGTGTGCCTGGAAAGCCAAAAGAGGAAACGACATCAACAACAAGCAGAGCCAGAGTCGTGGCTTGGTCTTTGCCTCTGCTGCAGCGCTTTTATTAAGCTTATAAATTTTTTATTCAAGACTTTTTACTTTGAACGAGTTGCACGCAGCTCGCGGGCAAAACAGAAAAGAGAGAGTGGGAGAGGGAGAGAGTGG